ATCTAGACAACTTTGACGGGGGGCTTGGTTTTTAAAGATATTTCATAATCGGAGGAGAGGACATTTTGCAGAAAAGTTGACGCCTGGAGGAGAGGAATTAGAAATTTTCAAAAAAAAGTCATCACCGGGGGCGGAAAATTTAAACAAAAACTTTATTTTTCTTTGTCCCCGAAGAGTCAACTTTTCTGATGATGGGCTTATAATGTCAATTTTCCTTTCAAAAACACTAGTTTTTCCGTTAAAAATGTTTAGTGGTTATAAAGATAGAGTGATATATTAGTAGTTCGGAGCATGTCAGAGCTGCATGATGAAGAACAAAACGACTTAACATTTTACAGAAACTCACTCATAAATAATTTCGTAAAATAATTTTATTTTAAACTGTTAAGACTTTTCTAAATTACAGTCTATAAACATAATAAAAAAAAATTCAAAAATTTAAAATAATCAAAACGATTTTTCCACGACAGTCTTTAGAACAGCCGCGTCGTAACTGAAACATCGCGTCGCACCATCTTTGCATATTTTATTAATTTGTTTGCTCAGTCAGGCTTATTGACTCAAGCAGATGGGATAGCATGATGACGTGATTAATAAGGCGTGACTTTTAGATAAAGCAAAATTATTTAATAATATTTATATCCGTATTTAGACAAATTGTTTGAGACACCAAGTTATATATATGGCACTACAATAACGTTAAAAGGTCGTGATGTTGATTTATTGGTATTGGAAATGATTTACGGCGCGAATAATGCAAACAAGTTGATTGTAAACTGGGAAATGACCTGTTTCAACTTATTTTGTCCAAAAATTGTTACCAATATAATAAATTTCAATGTATACATGGTAGATAAAGATATCAGTTGGGTTGCCTCGAGTAAGCTTCTTGGCGCCATCGCAACTTGTCACGGATGGAGATAATATTAGCAATGCTAGTAAAGTTTCAAAAATTTAGAAATAATCAATCAAATCCACTAAAAATTTCATGGTATGATAATAGTCTTAGTCTGCAATACTCTTATAAAACCAAATAAATTTTACAATAAAATAATTTGGAGAATTAGACCAGATTCTCATTTGCCAATCATTCAAAACACACAAAATAGTTATATACGAATATTATAAAGACTAAACAATTTGATAGCACCATTTACCATTTCAAGTCAACTAACACCAAATCAACATCACGGATTTATCTGCATTGTCAGCTAACAACTGCATTCTATTAAATAAAAACAAAACAATATTTTTCCAGCTTCAACGACATCATCAAGTCTCTAAAAAAATTGTCAGTATTTTTATATTTCTGTTCCTCGGACTTTGAAATACTCCATTAATAAGTATTTGAAGAGTTGTTAATAACCTAACGGATGAAATTAAATCAACTACTAACTTACAATGTTTTAAAAAATGAATTATAAATTATAATATTAACTTGAAGCTCTTTTAGTTAGTTTATAAAAATAGGAATTTTATATTATACCTATATAAGAATTTTGATTGTAATTGTTTTACGTTTTAATCACATTTACAATTTCAAGTTTCTTTATCATTTTTGAACTTGTTTGTGGCTTTATAAGCAAGTTTTCTTGCTACAGCCATTAGAAAAAATAAAATTGAATTGATGTGTAATAAATCAATCAATCAATCAATCAATTAATCAATCAATCAGTCAATCAATCGATAGATCGATCGATAAATCAATCGATCGATCAATCAATTTCATATAGTCCAATTTCTAAAGTTTCAACTGGGCTCAACCTAAAATTGAGAGATTTATGAAGAAGTACAAAAAATAAAATAAAAAAAAGTATCTATAACAATTCAATAAAAAAAACTAGTAAAAACATTTAAACAGCAGGCACATTAATCTAGTAAATTGATTAACAGAATTAATCTAATCAAAAATTTAATTTAGCCGCTGAAATAAAAGAAAAACCATATAACCAACAATCAATCAACTAAAATAAAAAAATTATCAAATAATAAATGGACCGGCAAATCAATAAAACAATTTAACTAATAATCGGTCAACAAAAATTGCTCAAAATATAAATAATAGACCTAACAAACAGTAAAAATTATCAATAAAACATATATATACAAATTAAACAATTAATTATAAAAAAATATAAATTAATATACGAATATTTAAAAAGCAAAGTATGAGAAACTAATTTGTTAATTTAAATTGAAAAATAAAGTTAAATTATAAAAAATAAACTTTTTAATAATTGTCTAAATTATTATTTAATTTATTTACAGCTTCCATTATGTTTTGAATTATACACAAGAATTGAAATAAGTCAGTAAACATAAAGCGTGTCTAAATATAAATTAACAAATAAAGAGTTTGATAGCTCCCACACGACAACCACCTGAGTCTAAACTGTAAGAACACTTCTGCCTCAATTATAATACATGCGTGCGTGACATCATTGTTTGACATCATTGAAAGCTGTTTGGCTTTCGCTAAAGTTTATAATGGGAGAAATAGGTCAAGACACTACTAAATACGGCGATTTAATGAAAAATTATGATTTACAACGAACTAACATTTGCAGACATTTGTTGTTTCGAAGGTAGGCTTCAAACAAATATTGCAGAGATATGGACAAGGGATGTCTTTCAATTGAAATTTATGCAACTTCACCGTCTCAACAGCAATCTGTAACAAAAATAGGTGCGCTAAAAATTTAAAAAGCAAATGTTATTTGGTCAATATATTTAAATAACTAATACTCTTACTGAGCCTTCCACATCGGTATTCAAGAGTCACGTGCTTTTCAAACTAAATACGCGAGCCTTTCTGAAAATGTAGTCACAAGAAAAAACTTAAAACGTGCAGAATAACAGACTATTTATAGTTTTTAAATGATTTTAATGTTTTGCAACCTACTCTAACACTGCCGCTTTTGTGCGATAGAGCAGATAATTGCATTAAACATCAAAATCTATGAATTTTGTTTAGTTTTATGACAAAATGTTGATAAGAACTTTTCAACACAGTGAAATTATCAGTTAAAATATTTTGGAAGGTAGTGCCTGTACGTTTCTTAGTAGTTGGAACTAGTTTTTGTTTTATAACTGCGGCGGCGTAGCAAGAGAGCAGCCCGGACAGGACAGTTGCCCGGGTCATCATTTTAAGAGGACGCATTCCTATCTCAAAAATATAATATCAAATGTTTTAATTTGGACTTTTGAGAAAACAAAAAAAAACTAAATAAAATATATACGAACTCAACTAATAGTTTTGTTCTCATTATCTATTTATTCAACCTGTCCACAATAAATGCATTTGTCAATTGACTTGGGGTTAAAATATATATATATAGTATAGTATAAAAACAAATTAATGATTTTTGTACAAGGAAGCCAAATTGAATATAAGTTTTTGCTTAAAAGCGAATGTGTTAGAGGTGCATTTTATTATAGGTAGGATTTTATTAATAACCAAATGAAGTCCATTGGAGAATTCGTTATAGCAAAGTGTTTATAACCGGAATTCTTCCTAATTTAAAAATGAAACTTCAAATTTTGCTGAAGATAAGCTTATCCAAAGCAACTATAAATTTTTTCAATTTCTTATAACAGACAAGCACCCAAACGTACTCATATAGCAGATTAATATTAATACATTAAATTCCTTATGGTCAATGATGAGCCAACATTATTTGTTTAATTAAATTGGCGTTGCTGAGTATTGAAGAAAATTAAACGAACAGTCTAGATTTAGAAAAAATTTGCTTCTGTAAGAACCATAAAATTTGACATTTAATAATTTTTGTTGTCGTTTTTTTGGCAATTTACTTTTAGAAATAACCAACTTTTTTGTAGCGAACATAAATGTGAAGTTTATTTTTTATTGCTTGTAAGTTTGTTTTTAATAATTAAAAAAATGTAAACATATATAAATTCTGTTCAAAAGGCGCAAATTTTATAGTCTCTCGCCACGCCCTCGCTACTTTATGCATAGTGTAGGGTAGGGTATAATTGAACTGGTACAAATGGATTTAACGTGTATTTTATTAAAAAACCCAAAATTACAGCATTATTGAAAAATTTTGTAATCGAAAGTCCAATAACTTTCCAGCTTTCATCGCTCGTTTAAGCTGAAATTTTGTGTGCTTGTTCACTTCCTGTGGCAATGTCCAAGTTAATTAACGGACCATTCAGCTTGTTAGACTCAGAAGTGCGAAAATTAATGCAAAGCGAACCAGTTGTGCTTTCGACTTCTACATTATTTATTATTCAAAAGGTAGTGATGTGAGCTTGATCGTTAATTAAGAATAAAAATAAATTTATACAAAATCACTAACTTGCTTTGATGCGTTGCCGAATAGCCATGGAAAGAATCCTTCTATGCAACAAGTCCATGTCGAGAAGCCCATCTCTTAAACCGACTTTTAAACAAATATAAATATCACGCACGCATTTAAAACAGAAATGCGCGAGCGAAGCATCCTTGAACCGCCTCACATCTCAAAGTTGCCGATCGACATGCGTGTTATCATCCAACATTACGTGACCAATAACGTGTAATGTAACGCAACACCACCTTCATCTTGTTAAACGTAGATTGCTTTGTATATTAAATGTTTAACATTTTTTACATACACAAAGTTCAATTTTTACATTCAAAAACTCCATTCGAAAGTTCAAATTATATAATTTGCTCCGTCGCAACTAAACATATAAACATATGCAGATTCGATGAGCGATCGCAAATAATGCAAAATCCGTTCTCAAGCGAAATTCGAGTGTTTGTTGTGTTTGGTGCAACTCTTTTATGTCTCTTCTCGGTGGTCATCCCCTCCCCAGCATCAATCGATAGGATCGTGCACGCGCATGCATAATAATATGTACGCATGCAGTTACAATCGCTGCTCGTGTCTTCAAACAGGCAACAAACTCCACGATCGCTTGCACGGTTTCTAAGATTTAAAAAACATTCGCAAACAAAACGAGTTTTATTTCTATATATAATTGGACTGAATGAAAGAAACATTTATTTAATTTTTATTTGAAACATTGCAAATCTAATCTTCCAAATCATTCGGATCAGTAATTTTTAATAGCTGTCAATAATAACCAATTTTGTAGTCGAACATCAACGGAAATTATGAAATATGCCGTCATTAAGAGGACACGCAATTCCCAAATAAAAAAGAAGTCGACAAGAAATTGACGAATATACCTAATTCATGCAAAAGGACACCTACAAGAAAACAAATCTAACTGTAAAGATATTGAAAACTGAACATAATTGGAAATAAATCTGTGAAATAGAAATGATTTGGACTTCATAGTTTAAAATTTCAAAAATTTATGAAAATCTTTCTAGAGAGCCTCGATTACATTCCCGCCTCGGTTTAATAAAATGTTACATTGAAACCGTCGTACATAATAGTTTGAAACTTCATTCAAAACAAGATGAAATACTACTATAAATTTACTTAAGTATACAGGTTCGACCTTTTAAAAGTAGTTTGTGTCCTTTAAACGTGTTCAACAAAATGAATTTAATAATTAATAAAAGTTTAATATATAAAATAAATTTGAATATTAATAAAAGCTTTTAGACTTTTTCAACAAATTGGAAAAAGATGACATCAGAAAATAGCTGAAATAAAAATCAAACATAATTTGATCGTAACCAATTATTCATTGATAAATAATTAAATAATTGAACGATTTTTTTAAATTAATAAGATACATTGAAGAAGTTAAATTTTAACATTTGAAAGGTAAAAAAACATGATTTGAAAAATTAACAATAAAATACAAATACAAAAAAAACAGTGTAAAACTTTGACTAAATAAGTGAAGAGGTTCAAACAAGAAGTTTCAACTTTATAACCAACCAGAGATTTCACAAGATACATACATTAAATATTTCACTGATTTAAAGAAAGCTTCGTTAAACAAGCTCAAAAAACATCCAGAATAACTTAATACACAATAATAACAATATTATTTTTTCTAGAATCCCTATGGTTCTTTAGAATGTTGACTAACTGAAGTAAAATGACTGCAATGGAAATATTCATCCGTGACGTAATAATGTCCCCAATCAACATAAAGAAAAACAAGTCTATGGTTAGAACATACATTTACGTGAAAGTATACAAAAGAAAAGTGTGTAACAATGCCAAAAATATTAGCAATTAAAAAACCATATTATAAAAATTTAATAATAATAAACACTCAAACACTAATGCAGACAGAATACACAAAATGAATAACTTCTGAAACTTAACTCGCTCTTGTGGAATAAGATTTTGAAAATAATGCAAGATTGTTAGCTCGTCATGTGTGTAAAATCGCTTATTTTTAATGATTCTTAATGTAGTGTTACTTACTTTTAATGTAATGTTGTTAACAATGTTTATTTTTAAAAAATGTTTGTTTTTATAATGCTGACGCCATGTTCATCTTTCAGCAGTGCAACAGCCCGCCAACTGTCCTCATAAATTTTGGAATATATTTCAACGCAGACTTGGTGTCACACGAGTTGTGGACAAGCGTACAAATAAAGATAGACTAATATGTGTAAAACAACACAACAAAAACGAAGCACGAATTCATACACACACACGTGCACAAACATTCACGCGTCCAAACAATTTAACGAACATTTACAAAATTGAACTAAGTTTTAAATGTTAAATTTTGATACCAAAACATGCAAACAAGAACACTTGACCAGAGCAAAATTTGATGGTCAGTATTGTAAATAATGGTGGCATGCACCGAACCTTAGAATGTGTTTGTGTGCGTAATTGTGTGTATACATGTGCCTGGACGTGTTCACAAATGCGGGCGTCTACATAAGTAAGAGTATATAAGCGTGGGTGTGTGTAGGTGCGTGCGTGCATGTTTGTTGAGCTTTCTCACCACAGTTGAGAAGATCTCCCACCTGGTGGCTGGCTGACCTTCATGGAAGGCTTCACTGGTTGACTGTCATCTATCTGAGCTCCTGTGTTAGTGGTTGTTGTAGTTGGTGATTGATGCGTGTGTGTGATTATTTGTCTATGACCATGTTGTCGTCATTGCGGTTGACTATGAAGAGCCATTGTTGCTTGTTTGTGGCCAGGATGACAATGATGATGGTTTAAATTATAAAATCAGAACAAAAGTAGACTACAGTAATAAATATTTAAGAGTTCATGTTTATTAACAAAGAATTTAAAGAGTTTTCAAAACCACAACAACAGTAATAATAAACACAAACAAACAAACAGTTAAATATTATTAAGTTATTAAAAGTAGCACAAAAAACACATTATTAAAAAATCAATAAATCTTTAACTATAAAAACAATAAATTATTAAGCTGTGAATTAAAAACCGACCACTAAGATGAAAACTTGAATCCTGCTGATGTCTGCCGCCACTGCTGGTTGCTCTGTTGTAGAACTCACCGCCCTTCTCAGCGTGGGCTGCTTGCTGACTGCTGCTGCTGATTTCCAGAGCAGCAATCCCATTTGATAAGTTGAATGATGGACCACTGTACGGTTCTCGAACAACTTTCTGTGGAGCATTAGCCTGGTGGTTTTGTGACGATGGAACATTTTAGATATCCGTCAAGGGGTTGGAAATATTAATTTTACAAAGTGCAAGTTTAGTTACAGATGAAATTCATAATAATTCTGGTGTCATATTCTACATAACTTACAAATTTAAATTTACTGGTTTTACAAATTTTCTTGCCAACATAACCATAAAAGCCAAATTTTTAAAGAGCTACTGAAACATTTACTTCTCTTTTTTATTGTTACAAAAAATCAAACAGCTACAATTTTAAAATATGACCTTAATTTTAAAAGTGAGTACTATTTTTCAGCACCCAAAAAATCAACTTTTATATCTACAACTGAAACAGATCAGCCTTTTTTAAACCACTTAAATAAAAACATTACAACAGCAACAGAGCATTTAATAAATGGAAAAATAAATTTTTTGATTCATGCTAACATTAGAATATGAAAAGGTTAATAAAAGCTAATGCCGTCTTTTCACCTCATTAAATACCGTTTTAATTACATAATTATTGAATAGTACGTTATGTTTTAAGGAACAAATCAAAATTTGTTTTGAGTCAACATAAACGAAAGAATGTCACATTTCTGCACATTATCAGCACGAATTCCTACTTGGATCCACTTTATATGAATACGTATATGATGCATGCACATCCAGATATAGCAAGCACCTCATCATTGAGTCAGTCACAACGAAGTTTTACTGCATTACCTAACTAAAATAATCTTTAACAATAAAAAGTGAACTTAAAACAAAAGAGTAAAAATAAAAAATCAGTTTAAATTTTGAACAAAAAATATATTACTTTGTCCCTCTCAGAGATCCTAGCATAAATGAAATCACAATTTGGAGGAAGAGACACGTACTGCCCACTCCCCTGGGTCACTCGAAACTTTAATGAAAACAAGAAAATAATACAATAATTTAATTAACAATTCAAAGATGGATTATTACTGTTGTTAAAACCCAAGGTTAAATAATATTAGTTTAAACAAAATAAAACTACTAAATACATATTCAAATACTACAATCAGTGCATTTTGACACAAACTTGTCCTAAATTATTCGCCGTAAACTAGAAAATCTCCAATGAGAAGAGTTAACAACACACACACACACACAAACACACTGCCAGACAGACAGAAGCATAGAGATGAATAAACACAACAGACCCCGTCGTCATCGAGCACGACAGACCCAGCTGATATAACTACGGATGGCCCTCCCTTAACCTCCATGCCTTCAAAGACGTTGTAGTCACCTTTATGTTGTTGAGTCTTTGTAGAAATCGTAGTGACCAGGTCGGGATCCCAAATGACCAGGTCGGCGTCTGATCCAACTGCCACACGACCCTGTCAGTGGTTGCGGAAATAAAACATTCATCTATTTATTATTATTATTATTATTATTATTATTATTATTATTATTATAGGATATTAATGCTTTGAACACATCTGAGACCAAACGTTGGAGTAGTGGTGCAAGCCCTTCTAATGCGTTGTGCAAAATAATGTTAGAATAAATTGTAAAATATATTAATAGATGGATGGATGGATGGATGGATAGATAGATAGATAGATAGATAGATAGATAGATAGATAGATAGATAGATAGATAGATAGATAGATAGATAGATAGAATTGTATGTAAGATGAATAAATAAAAAGGCGGTAAGTGGAGGAAACAAACAGATCTGGCAAAGAGAAAGATTAAAGATTGGACATTGAAAATTCAAGATTCAAGGCAGGACAAATGTTTGTATTTCTTTTGGGATGATTGGAATTGTATAACTTAAATAGGTCATCAGAGATTCCTTAACAGGCAGTGGTTACTACTAAGCAAACAAGATTAATGAAACGTGATGAGAGGGATGAGCATTTAAAATATGCTCCAAATCCTGCTTTTTACTTTCATAAACTGTCTAATGTTAGTGCTATGTAGATATTTTATAATCAGGTTGCAACTTATAACCGCTACTGTTCTTGAATTCTGTAAAATCAGCAACTGCAAGAAGAGCAGCATCTACATCTACAGCATCTACATGCATGCCCAGTAGTTTTATCTACTATTTCTTTGCAATGCATGTACTATAAAATAATTACCACGATGAATGGATGCAAAATAAGCAGTTGTGGAGAAGATAGATCTGCCATCACGGCAATCATAGCATGAAAGCAATGTCTCAACAAGCAACCAGTGAACTAATGTAGTTGAAACAACATCCTTACAAACAACTAATGAATTGATGCAAGTGAGGCAACCAACCTTTCGTGGATAGAGGTTAAAAATCTTGGCAGCATTGGTGCTTGTAACTGCCACAAACTTGTTCATATCCATCCTGCCTGTCAACTGTTTAGATGTGCATTACATAATGTGAATGATGTGAATGTAGTAAATATGCTAAGTAACATTATAAAACTCATTTTACCTTAAAATGAAAAAATAAAAATATTATTGGCTGGATGGATATACAGCAGGACAAACAGACAGATAGACAAACGAACATACCACTCCCTTTCTCCAGACGACGAGCAACCTCTCCTGAATGCCATTAACACCAGCTGGTATTTTTGTGAAATCATCTTTGCCAAGCGCTCGTTGGCTGACGTCGTAAGTGCAGTGGTCCGATGAGACAACTTGCAGATCATCACTTTGTGTGAATTTATGTTTCAATTATTCATAAGAAATTTAAAAAATATTTATCTGGGAAACAATTGAAAACAATGAACTAAACTGTTAAATTAGAGAAAATTTGGAAATGAGAGATGATTACTCTAAAATTTAGTTAACATTATAAAACAACCAACTGGTTGAAATGGATTACATAAAAATACCCTATCAAGAAGTGTAATCTGAATATTTGTTCATACTTGGCTAAAAGGTTAACAAGATATCCCGGAATGGAGGAATCATTCCTGAAGGGAGGCGAGACAACATGAGAGGCAGCATGTCTCCAGGATTCATTGAAATATTCCTTTCCTGTCAGCACTAATGAAGATACTCTTGTTTCACCAAAAACCACCTTCCCTGATTAAAAAATAACTTTTTAGACTTTGCTATGTAAGAACAATCTCAATGAACATTTAAAAAAAATTACTGAATAAATTAACAAAAACCTCTGCGTCTCATTTCCGAGATGACATTAGCAGAAAACATTGAAGTGACGTTGTTGATGTAGACAGGGACATTCACTAGGTTGCCTGCCGATACAACACGATACACTGCATCTATCTCTGCCTTTATGTTATGAATTAAAAATTGTTTGAAACAATATCAATTTTGTAAAATTATTCTAGAACCAAATAAAATTAATAAAAAACAATAACGCAAGTATTTTAGCGACATCTATGATAAAGGCATATAGACATAATGGAAGGTTTTAAATATTTTTAACGACATAACATAAAAATGAATAATGGGAAAAAAGTTGAGCCAAATGATAAGCATGTCAAACATGCAGTTAATCCCGAATATAATATGAAACATCAATATTAAAACGACGTGAAAGGAGATCTCAACTCAGAGTGTGGATTCAGTTGAAGAGGAACATGAACAGAAGAACGGGCAACACCAAAATTTAACAGAACAACACCAACTGTTTGGCGTAAATCTTAATGCAAAATGTGCAGTGAAACAACACAACAAATGATATTAACAACAAATGTGCAAAACATTACAAAATCTTAAAACTCAAAATCTAACAGATTCAAAAGCCAAGAAATTTAAGAATGAGAAACGTGCCACTCAACAACAAATTAGCATAAAAACCAAAATAAAAAACTGAAAAATATGAAAAAGCCTGCCAAGCACACCTCTTCAGCTCTGCTGTAAAAATGACCCTCTGGTCCAGTTACTCCTTGGGAAATGACCTCCTTTAATTTCTGCATAATCATTGTTAAACATAAATATATACAATGTACAAGCCCAAAATATCAAAGAATTAAACGGACGAAAAGAAGATAAAATGGAAGAATGAATGATGCATGAATGAACGAATAAATAAATAAATAAAAATGTACCTCTTTAATAATAGCTCCATTCTCTGCATGCACCAGCAGCAAAACCTTCAGTTGCTTGCATTTTTTCAAAACTTCATACAACTCCCTCTCATTCCAGGCAATGTGGCCTGCATCTCCAGCAAGAGATATGTGGAATGAATTGACTCCTGTTTAATGTAAAACATTATTGTTGATAAAAACAATTTCCTCTCCTCACCCTTTAATAACCTCAACCAACTAACAAGCATAGAACATTTTTGTCATTCCTTAACATCACCAGAATGCACGTTCACTATTGCCAAAAAACGCCAATAATGGAAATGCAAATGAAGAGCAATAACAATATTTAAACATTCTCTACCATACTTTAAAAATCATATAATTCTACATTGTTGATAACCAATCCTTAATTTATAATTCATATGGGTCAGAAATAAAATTTCCCTCATAAGATTTTAATTTAGTACAAGTTATCTAAGCTGTAACTCAACGGAATGGTTAAATATCTGAATATATTTATTTCAGATAACGGATTTACAGCAAGAAAAACTATAACTGACTTTCTACTGATAGCTAACCTTTCTCTTTTACAAGAACCTCCATTTCTTGGGCCACTTTGTCACTCCAGCAAGTGAGACAAACATGGAGACTGAAGTCACAGCAGGACTTTTCACTAGCCATCTCGTGAAACTTGTTGAATGCTTCTAAGATTGACTGATTCAACTCTGGTACCACATAATCAACTGTTACATATGTACAATGCACATTAACGTCAGGAAGAGCAGAAATATTAATCATAAGGTTGGTGTTTGATCAACACATTTAACGCATATATAAGCAACAGCATGATAATTAATTTCATACTAAAAAAGCATATCCTAAAAAAACATGATTAAGTATATCTTGGGCGAAAATATTCATAAATTGGGCAATGAGCAAAAATATCATAGTGTGGGTGATGAACGTACATATCATGGTGGTCCCTCCCGCCAGAGCTGCCTTAGAGCCAGAGTAGAAGTCATCAGCTGACTTGACTGTTGCAGAGGATTGCTGGAGGTGAGTTGAAGCATCTATGCCACCTGTTCTATCAATTAGTTTGTCATTACATTTTGTAACAGAGGGGAAAACAAGATAAGATTTGGAAATTTAAAACTTGACACACGCCAAAAAAGAGAGATAGGGAAGAGTATTATTAAAGATGAGATGTGTCATAAGATAGTCACATGAGAGACTAACCCCCATTTCAAACATACTCACATACACAATCAGATTCAAATATTTGCGTTTCGGGAAGAGTATTATTAAAGATGAGATGTGTCATAAGATAGTCACATGATAGAACAGATTCAAATATTTGCGTTATGATCCCAACAAAAGTGGACATATTAAATTCTATTTGGACATCCCACCACCATCATCAAAATCAACACAAGTACTCATCATCAGCATATGCAAATTATTTGTGTCAACGTCATTACAATAACCAGAATATTTCTGTAATTGAAAATATTAAATGAATCAATATTTGAATTTAAGTGAATAGACCTGGCATCAATATTTTGCCTCTTGCATCAATTGTCCTCGCTCCACCGGGGATGACTAAATTGTTGCCTATCAATCTAAACGTATTTGTAAAATAAAGCACATAAAAACTATTGAACTATCCACACATAACACAAACATACAAGACATATAATATATATATATATATATATATATATATATATATATATATTATTATTAAAAATATTGTTTATACAGCGTTCGATGAACAAAAAACTTAAAACAGAATTTCTAATCAATACAAACAAGAAAAAAAAGAAGAAAAAAAACAAACAAATAAAACAGAAAATAATAAATGTATTAATGTAATTGAGTCTGAAATAAATATGTCTTTATAAGTTTATAATGCCATAAGCTCCAGTTGCTACAAGATGTAACACTCACTCTATCATGATGGAAAGTGTGATTAAAGTTGAAACACCACTTCTGGAAGAGCAAGAGGTGGACAAGTCAAAGTTTAGTGAGAAAGTTCCTACTCAGAAGCAATTTACAATCATTGCTAACCTATAAATAGAAATTTTAGAACCTTTCAGAAACTTTTTCATACAAGAAAGGTTGCAAAAGGTCAATCTCACTAATTGGGAATTAGAAGAACACAATTTATTGCAATTCTAACACAAAAAATTAATGAACTTTTGCCTGCCAAGTTACCAAAGTATGGTTCTAATAATAAAACCTACAGCCTAGCCAATATCTGCTGCCTACTTCTTCCAGAGTTGCTGTTTCTAAACAAATGGAAGTTAGTGAATTATTTAATATTGGCTCCCATAATTTTTCATTTAATGTTATTTATCGGCCACCCAATTCTAATTTAGTAGATTTTATTATTGATTTGAATTGTTTGTTCTTAAACGTTTTTTATAATCATGCATGTTGCTTATCTAACAGTCACTCTAACATTTCAAGAAATATACTTATTTTTATATACCAACCCCCAAACAAATTCTCTCTTTAATTCTGTTCTTTATGTTTAAATTCTTCTTGGAGATTTATTACCCACTTATACTAAAAATTTTGTCTATGAAGGTTTATTTAAGGGTCTAATTCATGATCTGGTTTTAAATAATCACTATAGTAAGTTTCTTAATAAAAGTTGCATTAAATTAAATCGCAATTAAATTGTAATCATTTGTAAACATATGCTCATTTTTATTATTTAATATTTTAATTTTAATGTTTGCTTTCAATAAATATGCTACATTTTTTCCTTTTTGGTACCAAGTGGCATAACAAACGCAAGCTTCTGGTCTCCTAGTGATTTGCTGAATATTCTATTGTACTGTATATACATTTGAGATAAATGAAATTTTTACAATAAGTCTTTCGTTCAGTTTAATTGAAATTATTTTTTAAATTGTAGATTTTATTTTCTAAAATTCTGAAAAACTGTTTGGAATTTATTTTGTTTTAAAATTTTGATTTTTTGTTGAATTTGTTGGAATTTTGATAGAAATGTGATTTTGTCAAAGTGTACACTTAGTTACCCTGTTTAAATATAGCTAAATGTTTCATAATAACACCTGTCTGAAGCATAAGATTCCTATTCAAGGCACTAGAGATATGTTTCAGTGTAGTTGCTGTAAATGCGCTGTACTGTACATTTCAAATGTTTAGTGTCTGGTAATGAGAATGAAAACGTTGTTAAAACATTAAAAAAGAACAAAAACCTGAAATAGCCTTGTGACCATTGTTTGGAAATACTACAGGATATCAATTCGTTAGCAAAATATATTGAGGCAAACAGAAATAAAACAGTGAAAAAAATAGATAAACTTAACGAACTGAATTTGAATGTTAGGTCATGAATTGAAAATATGAAAACGGTTAAAGGTTCAATCAAAGGAAAACAATCAAATGGTACTGATCTTTCAGATGCATTTTCTAAAACTGAAATGGACAAATTGAAGAGTAAAATGAGCAACACTTACTAGCATTGTAAAAAAAATTAAGTCATGAACAATGAGGTTCAGTCCAGAAAACGTTACATGAAACCAGTGAATTGAAAAAAAGGGAATCAAATTAGATTATGTTTTGTTTGTCAAAAAGCAACAATGATTTTATAGCATAATAATAACTGAAAATAAAAAAAATAATAAAATAATCTCACTAATTATTCACGAATTATAAAAAATTCATACTTGATAACACCATCTTCAATGTAAACATCTGCTGAAAATGAATGGTCATCATTCACAATTTTGGCACCTTTAATGAATAATCGCAGCTGGGCACTCTAAATAATTAAAATTATTGACTTTATGAAAATTATTAAACTTATTTACTAAATGTTTAAATTTAAAGAAAAATTAGTTTATTAAGCTTGTCAAATTGAAAAAAAAGAAAAAATAATTTGAAAACATGAAAAATCATGTCACATCTGAAAAAATTTTTACATCAATTTCAACACATTTTTTTCAAATTATTAAAAGTTTAATTATGTGCTAGATAAATTGGTTATACTAAAAAAATATTTATCATGCCATTTATAGTTAAAGAAAACTACTACTTCTTGAATGGGTTTTACGCAAAGGATTATTTAAAAATAAATTCCATGAATGTTTTTTTAAATAGTCAAGATTTTTTATAATTGAAACAGTATTATTATATTTATCACAAAAGGTAGTACAGTGAAATCATATTATTTTGAGTAGTAAAAAAATAACTTTTTATTTTAATTCAATTCTAAACTCTAATTCCAGTTACTCTCTTATGTGCCATGTTGTTCATTAGTAAATTTCTGTCATCTTTATATATTAAAAAGACGAAATATTTATATATTCAATAATTACTATCTCACACCAATTTATGACAATCAATGAAGATTTGCCTGATATCAGGATAATAATAGTAAATGAGTATACCAAAGTGTTGAAACGTAACTATAAAATTTTTGATGCCACTGCAATTTTCAGAACTTGCTTTTTTCTTTTAAAAATTTATTACATGTTTTGTCTAAAATAAAAAAATTAATGGTACAATTTTACAGTTTAATTTTAAAATCTAGACATTTTCAATAGAACCATTTCTGTCTTCTTGATGTAGTTTTGGCTATAAGAAATTACTCTCAGTGATAGAAATTTTTGTTTTACTAACCTGATATACACATCTATTATGAACTCTGAACTGAACATAACTAAAAAACAAGTCATACTTAATTGGGCATTGAAATCCACTAGAGCAATCTAATTTAAGACAAAGTTTGAGGAGTATTATTAAGATATCTGTTAACATTAATTATGAATCCAGACATGGTTTTATTGAAGAGTTTAAAAATTAAAACAAAAAAGGGTTCACAAAAAGACCCAATCACATTTTAGCGAAGAAGTTAGTAGAGGAAAATGACTAGTAATAATAAAGAGAACATCTAACTTATGTAAAGCTAGAAAACTTTTGCTAATGAACGTTCAGTTTTATTTTAAGCTATTTCAGAAAAAAAGTAGGAAAATTTTAAATTTATATTGTAAATAAGTTTAAATTGTGAACTGGCTAGTGTCAGGGTTAGAGTTAGCAATTTCATTGACTGTAGACAAGCAACATCAAGCTAGCTAGAACTAGAGGAAAAGTTGACCAAATTTCATATTAGGTCATTTCCTTCTTTGGCATCTTGTTGACATTAAAAATAACATTTAGTTAGCTTTAGATAAGAACCCTAATTTTGGTGCTAGTTTTGAGAAGAGAAGAACCTCTTAATAAAAAAGCCATTCATAAAAAAAATAATTGACAAATTTCAATATCTTGCTAAAAATCTTTTATGTTACATGAGATATGACATTTCAACAGTAAATAAAAAAAATTCACTATTATTTGTTCCCAATTTCATGCACAGTCAACAATGATTCAACATTCAACAACCACAAGACAAAACAGAGTGATTCATTCTGCATTCATCTCATTCTTCATTCAATCATAGGTGCCGGACAAAATAACGAAACATGTTTGTAAAGCAACCTGCAGATGGATCGGAACCTTCTTTAAAGGAGCTCTTGTAGCCATTAATTTTAATTCTAAACAGCAACCCTTCTCTAAGCCGAAAAATTGCAAAAAAAATACTCCAAAAAGCAAAAACTTGACAAGTCGATGCGGAAAAAAAATATGGCCGAAGTTTGTAATAAGGGATGTGCCTCATTTGATAAATTTCTTATTCACCAATCGATCAATCGACCAATCAATGAATTTTTTGGAATCTTTTTATTTCCTTAAGGAAATGTTTATGCTGATGGCGTCCAGCTTTCCTGCCAATTTTCAAAATCTTTTTCTGTCTTTTAATCTAAACGCCCTATTACTATTCCTCCTATTATCTTACCTGATTCTAAAACTCTTGATGTCTCTTATAAGTTTCGTAGTCTAGGTTTTATCTTTGATTCTACTATGTCTCTCTCTTATCAGATTAATAGTGTTGCTAGAAGCTCTTACTTTCATTTACGTAAAATAAAAAAACTTTTTCCTTTTCTTGATGATAGGATTGATTATTGTAATTCGTTCTACTACGGTCTTCCTGACTATACTCTATCCTTTAAGTAAAGCTTTTAACTCTGCTGCTTGTCTAGTTGCTCGTGTCCCTTTCTTTTCTCATATATCTCCATAACTTGTTCTCTTGCACTGGCTACCTATAAAATATTGAATAATTTTTAAAATTTGCACGTTTATGTATAAGTCTCAATCTAAATTATTTCTTAAGTATTTATCAGATAAATTAATTGAACCCAAACGCCCCGGTTTACGATCGTCTTCTTGTTCTCGCTTTTTCTTAACTCGTGTTAAACACTCTTTTGCCAAATCTGCTTTTGCTTTTTCTGGTCCTTTTCTCTGGAACTCTCTACCTACTTCTCTGACTACTTCTCCATCACTTGCAAAGTTCAGAGTGGATCTCAAGACCCATCAGTTTTCAAAATTCATTGAGGAGCGCTGTTGAACATCGCGGAAATAGCGTTTTATAAGTTAATTGATTGATTTATTGATCGATTGATTGATCGATTGATCGATTGATTGATTGATTGATTGATTGATCGATCGATCGATCGATCGATCGATCGATCGATCGATCGATCGATCGATCGATCGATCGATTGATTGATTGATTGATTGATTGATTGATTGATTGATTGATTGATTGATTGATTGATTGATTGATTGATTGATTGATTGATTGATTGATTGATCGATTGATTGATTGATCGATTGATTGATTGATCGATTGATTGATTGATTGATTGATCGGTTTTCACAACCATGCGCTTTTGTTCGCAGGGAGAGGTATTGTACAATATGTATTTGTACTGACCATCGTAGTTGCAGTAGCAGGTCGACAAATTTTTACCACTTGCGTGTATATTCAGATATACAGATTTCAAGTATTCAAATCTCAAGCAAGCACAGGTATTGGAAATTAAAATTTTCAACGTACAAGCATAATTTCTCAAACTTAAATAACAAGTGTTGTTGTTCAAGAAAGGTGGCGTAGTGGTTTAGTGGTGAACGGGTTTGATTATGACAAAAAGATCCCCACCCATCACATGCCATAGATGTGATGAGTCAATTATTATCACGTATTTATATACACTGTGAAAAACTTAGCAAGAGTGTAAAAATTATTAAACTTTTGAAACTTTTTATCAAGTAAAACTACTTTTATCTCTAATGCGATGGAACAAAGAAAACATTAAACGACCAAGCCAAACGAAAAACTTCAATTTAAATAATTAAGAAATGTAATCAGATATATTGCTGCATTTTAAGAATAGTAACTTTGTGAGTTGGCTGTCAGACATTTTTGTCCTGTGGTCGTTACTTATCAAGCTGTCTCGGCTAAACACTTTCTCAGTTGTAACAATGGAAGCTGGCACACCTAACTCTCGAATTGCAGCGTTGGATATTTGGTTCAGTTCTTTTGTATATTTGTCATTCAGCCAATAACATAGCATCTTTTTCATTTACGTTTCCAGTAACAAAATCCAAATATTTATTTATTTGTGATAACACACGGATCGTCATACATCTTTAGAGACTGACAAATTTTTGTAGTTACCAAAGAGTTTTGATACAGACATGCATTATCTAAACGGATGTGTATCAATGCTGCGCATATCAAACTGAGAAATTGTACGTTGGATTAAAAATTTAATTTTAGAAAAGTAACCTGATTGAAAAAAAAATTGGTTATCGCTAGCAAGCTGTTAAGCGCTTTATATAAATATATATATATATATATATATATATATATATATTAACGCGTTTAATGTGCCTAGCCTAGAACTAGATAAGTGTTCACAGCAACGCAACTTTGGTTGTGGTGAGAGAGGGTGTCTTTACGTACTCGTACTGGCCGACCGTACCTGCGGAAATTTTCACCCCTTTATATACTCACGTACTAGTTGATTCAAATTGACTCACTATGATATATATATATATATATATATCATATATATTTTTATTTATTTTTTATATATATATTTGCATATATATATATATATATTTGCATATATATATATATATGCAAATTTCATTGAAAAATTATCGTATATATATATATGCGATCTTCGTGTACAGGTTTCTAAATCACATGTTACCTAATGCTCACAAAGATGTTTTTACTTACAGCACCTAATTTTTTCAAAAAACCTGAGACACACTTCAGTTTTATACACAATCCCAGCAAGAATAAAACTGATACAAACAAGTTTAAACTTCACCGGCTGAAAATATGGGAAACCGTGGTGCCTCCTGAAATCAAGACTGTCAATCTTATTTCATGTATTTAAAAACAAACTTTAAAAATATTTAGTTAATCAAAACTCAGGTTACAATTTTAATTTGTTAACATATTAACAAACTTAAAGTTGAAAAATCAATCAAGTCTTCATTTTCTGTCTTAAAATTTGACTCGTAATTATTTTCTTAAATAACTTTAGATCTGTAAACTGGTGGCCTGTACAAGGGATTAATTTATCTTTTGGGTGTCCTGATTATTTCATTTTTTGCATGATTCGATTCTGTTTGATTTGATGAATAAATTGATTTTGATTATTATATATATATATATATATATATATATACAATAAAAACAACACAAACAATTCAATTATTTGTATTGGCTTATTGGCTTACATTTGTCTCATATGTGGATACAAATCCGTTGACGAAGAAATGAGCAACCAGATGATAGAGAGAGAGAGAAGGCATGCTCTTCAATCAGACCTGTTATCTATTTATTAACACGTGTGTACATAGGTGGATGGTGTGCGAAATGTGACGTGCAATCATGCATCATGCACCATGCACGTGCTTCTAGTCTGTGCACTACACTGAACATCATTATGTAGGAGATGCATTGAACAGCAGAAGCTTGCTGCAGCACGGCGATAGATTCCAACCACGAAAAATAGTTCGTACACATGTATATGTGCATGCGTGTCTGCTTTTTTGTAATGTTTTGTATGTTTATCTATGCAACAATCGACTTGATATTTTTCTTTTAAAAAGTTAACTAAAAGATATCTACAACGTTGCAATCTGATGTAAATTGAATGCACAAATAATTTTATTGTTGATAATACAAGTAAAGAAAACAATTCTCCAGTGTTTATTTTTTGGTTCTGTTGAAATATAATTAACACACTTCTTTTTTCAAAATTTTATATTATTTTTTCAAAACCGTCTAACGAGGATAAATAGCCTGGAAAAGTGAACCTATTATTCTTTACAAAATGAGGTTTTTATTACATTTATTTCCCACAGTTTTCAATAATTTTTCAATTTTTCTTTATTGAGTTTTTAAGGGTTTATTGTTTAATTAAAAATGAAAGGATTTTGTAAAAAAAATATTCAGATACTAACAGTTAGATATATAAAAATAATAATTTTTCAAAAAGTCACATTTTTATAATAAGTTTGCTTAAAAGTAAAACAATTCTCAATTTGAGAAATACAGTATAAAAAAAACATTAAATTAAAACATTAAATTAAAATGCCGATTTTTCCTTATGTTAACAACCACATCTTCAAAAAAAGTATCACATTTAAACCCTGAAAATCTTATCGGATGAAAAAGACATTGAGTACTTGCAGAGAACAGTGAAAGCCTGTTTCGACGTTGTTTTGAAAAAGCAGAAAAACAAATAACACGCTTTGTATGATTATGAAAACGTTGGTCTCTATTAATCAATAATCTTCAAGCTTCAAGCCCCAGTTTATGATCGTCTTCCTGCTCTCGATTCTTCTTAACTCCTACTTATTCATCACTTAACGAAGTTCAGAGCTGATTTCAAAACCATTTGTTTGTTAAGTTTATTGAAATCTTACTTGATTGGTTTATTGAAGCTGAATCTTCAAGCTGTACAAGCATCAATTAGTACGGTCAAAGCCTAAATTTTTGAAAACGTGGAGCTCTAATTAGCGAAAAGGCAGAGAAAGACATGTTAAAAAATTAAATGGTGAGCAACAGGGATAATCTCAAAAGCAAAGAAAAAAGAGTGCTGACTTGTGTATCGACCTGTAGTTCGACGAAAGGGTATCTAATCCGGATCTACAAAATTGTAACGGACAACGGCGATGTAAATTCATCCAAGATTTGCAATTTTGAAGGAAATAAATAAATTGTTAAATGAATCATTTGTACCAATTATTCTTTTGGGAGATCTCTCGGCTGTTTTATCGGAATTTTCTAAGGGACGTGAGGAAGACGTAAGGGACTGGTGTCGTGTACCTGTAGAGGCAATTAAAGAATGGTCCTTCAACCAAAACAACAGTCAAACGCGAATGGGATTGTCAATCGGAAATGGCAACAATGTCAATAAGTGGACAGTTTCAACTTTCTAGCAGAAGAAAATGCTTTCTTCAACTCGTGAAATTGATTATTATTGAATTATGACAACTGTAATAACTACATTTAAATTTAACTAAAAAAATCTAGTGATATATGATCATTGATTTTTGATTATGTAAAATTATAAGATTTGTTTATATAAAAGACTAAATTTATTTCTGCTTCCTTCAATCAAAAATTATCTTGTACTAATATAGCAAAGATTGAACGAGCAATGTAATTATTATTATTTTGTGTTAGCAGTGTTTTTTTCAGCATATTTGTACATATGCTAACAAATTAGTAATTTTTTGGCTGCATCTTTTAAAAATCTTGAATTTTGTTTTGCTTTTCACCAATGTCAAAAAGCGTGCGTGGAAAAATTTTGGCCAGCGAATCATGTAGAGAAATAAAAAATTACCAAATTATTAGTAATAATAAGTGAATTTAGTCAAACTTTAAATTAATAAGTCTTTAATTCAATGTATATGTTATTAATGAACTAATTTCGTTGCAACGTACTTCAATTAAAATACACAATAGTGTTTCTAAAGTTAGCCAAACTTCTGAGTACTAAGGCTTATGCAAATCCATATTATATACATATATATCTTGAAAAACGTTACTTTGAGCCAAATAATTGTTTATGCATGTAAAATTAATTGACCGGGATAAAAACAATGATAAACAAAAAATCATACGTAAAATAAAAATAAAAATATTTAAACTTTGAAATTTTTCTTCACACATTTTCGAACTATTGTAGAAGAAATGTTTATTTACAAAACGATATGTCGATAAATAAAATTTCACACTTGAACATTTACACAATTGTTTGAACCAATAAATTTATGAAATAAACAAATCTCATTCTACAAGTTCATTCTTTGAGCTTGTTATTAATATAATATTCCTTATAAAACAAGGTTAAGGTTATGAATTTTATGTTATGTGTTTCGTATTATTTATTTTCTTAGTAGGATTATTAATAAAAAATTACAGAAACTTTTCAGTAAGAACGACCTAAACCTCAAGTGGGCAAGTTAGAATACACTTTACAACAGTTCGACTCCTTAGGCTAGCTTTGTCAAATGGAATCGTTAGGAAAGTTGTTCATCATTCTAACAAGTCTCTGCCAAACTTCAGTCAAATCTTCATCCAATAAATTCCAGCAAAATATATTTGACCAATCAGCCATTAAAGATACTTTTTTTGTTAATAACACTGTGATCAAGACTGGAACCAAACTATATGCTTCAAACTTAATGGACAATAATCATAAATTAATGAACAATGAAAACTTCGCGCATTATACAAATTTATATTACAACAACATATTCGCCACTAAGAAAAAATTCGGCAAAACAAAACCATCAATTTCAAATGGACATTTTAAGTTACGGTTAAGACGGGAAACAATTAAGAAACAAGTCTTGAAACTTTTCCCATGCCTAGAAAGTGAAAATAATGTATTAATCAATAATTTATTTGAAGTTGATCCACAAATTGCTGTGTTTGCCTACATGGTGACAACTTCGCAGAATTGTTCACCAAGCTGTGAACATCTTTTACAAAGAGACTTACTGCCAATCGAAGAAGTTTTAGACGTTTATCGAGACCAAATGTTAATAATATCAAAGTTAAGTGATATGCTGAAGTATTCAAACATTTTAAATTTTGAAACCATCGAAAAAATTGTCTATTCATTTTCACAAACGTTTTTGAAAGAACTACAGTTTGGTAAAAATTATCAAATTTTGTACCGAAATATTAACGACGACGCCTACATGGTTAACCAAAATTCATTCCAGTTAGCATCGGAGTCAGATTATTTTATGAGGCAAATATTTGAAAAATTGAAATTGAAACACGAGCCTCAAAGTAAAAACTTTAAAGCCATTTGTAACGAGAGTAGGAACGTATTTGATTCCATGCGTTCCAGCAACGAGATGAAAATGTGGGGCGACCTGAGTTACGATTGCCTTACAAAACGTTGGAGAGTCCTTAGGATTGAACCATTGTACCAATGTGTCAATTCAAGCTTGCCTCCGCTAAGGTTAGATTGGTTTGATTGGAAACATTACTTGGTCATTTGATATGAACGCTGATTTTCAATAACGAATATCTGAATAGAACTTGGGCTTAAAGTTTCAAAACATACTAAGAATAATTTTCTCATTAAAAATGTTAATGCCACGTAGCTACCCCGAATGGCTTTTGTATTCTAAAAAAAATATTTAGTAAAACTAGTCAGAAATTGCAGTTTATAATTCTAAAAAATTTTATACTTTATATATATCTAAAATTTTTTTACAAAATATAAAGCTACATAAATTTTTCAACAAATAAAATGCTATTTAAAACGTTTTTGAATCAGCGGAATGATAAAATTTGATATTCACCTGGATGAGCTTGCCCTTGACCCTTGTAGCGTTTCGAAACCCAACTCCATATTCCAGCACAAATGCCCAGCTCATTCGCAAGTAAGATTTTGTGTTGTCGTGGAAGCACTGTTAATAACTGCTGCTTCTGGTTTATGTTTTTTGCTGGTTCGCATTTCGTTCTTGCCGTAACGTTAGTTTGTTACCTGTCATGTTTGTTGTACGTTTTTTTATTACTACAACAATTTTTTATTTGAAATTCTTGAAAAAAATTTTGCTTGGTGTGTTTAAACCTTTTGAAAATTATTTTTGCAGAGAGTTTACGACAATTTTTCAACTTTGTCAAAAACTAATTTGCGGTCAAAGTATTATTTTGTTAAGTTCCTTGCAAAATGAAATTACAACAAATTAAGTCATAACAATATTTTAAAATACAAATTTCACTAGTGTATTTCAAGCCAATTGAAGACAAAATGGAAGAGAACGAGTTCATATGCGTGCAAGTGTTTGAAGGGCTACTACAACAAATATTTTATGCAAATAAATCTTAGCAAGGAAAGCACAGAGTTGAACAGCAGTAATTGCATCAGTGGTCACCTGATGGACCAGACGTATGTTGACAAATTATTGAATAGATCGATCAGATGGGATTTTGAATGCGTTCCATGTGCGGCTGGTTGTGAAGAGTGTGTGAACGACCGGGCGTGTAATCTTAGTTTTGATGTTCTGAATCGTGGAGTTCCTCTAGCAGTTGAAAGCATCTCTTTGACCATTTGTACCGCTCTTTTCTGCTCTATTTTCAAACTAAGAAAAACTAAGGTAATGTTTAAACGTTCGGCTAAAAATGTTTGTTACATTTTTTAGTATTTAGTTAGCAGAATTGTACTTGGATTTTAATTTTAATAAATTTATATTTGCGTATCAAAAATTACTAGGTTATGAAGGGCAGCATTTGGTTCCTGCTTGAAACGGTGGTCTTTGGAGCATTTCTCTTGTACACAACGGTCTTTACTACATTTTAGCTTCTATGTCATCAAAGTTTTATTTTAAAAAATTTCAACAAACAGGTCATCATAAGGTACTTTGAGCCAAATAATTGTTTATGCATAGTCGTTCAATGGTTCCGAGAGGTAGGCTTCGCTTGCGTTTATGGTTCACTCATACTCAAAGTCTACAGGTGAAAGGCTTTGATGAAAGTTTTTTAACTACAACAAATATATAATAACAAAAGTTTTCAATTAATTTTTTCATTTTTTTTGTTACTCGACAATTATCACCAAAACTATAAACTTTCGTTTACCCGTTATACATTCATTTTTTGAAGATTCAAATCATATTTTTAAATATAAAAAACTTGATGCTGATATTTCAAACCAATTATGTAATTTGATTAATTGATTTATGAATAAGGAACATGAAATAACTTGAGTCTCGCAAAATAATCATCAAGCGTTCTTTCGCGAGTTATCAAATTAACACTTTAGAACGTTAATAGCATGGTCCAACAATTTTAAAATGCATATAAAAGTTTCACTCGCGTGTCATCAATTCTGAACAATAACGTACGAGCAGAGTGCTGACGGAATTTCAATCTCGTAAGGCCCACCGAGTTCAAATGCGCAACAAGGACCTTATCAAGTGTTTAATCTGCATCGTGGTCGTAGTCGTTGGCTACATGGCTGCATGGACGGCTGTCAACATTGACAGCATGGACGGACACGATTGGTCAATGCTCTGGACCGTCTATAAGGATGGATTAAAATTTGAACTCTGCAGAACAGTTTCGTGGGACTTTGTCATCATTTTAGGTTTCTCAAAATATTTTATTTTGTTAACGTTTCAAAATAATTTAATTTAAAAAATTTTTATATTTTCGTTTGAAACAACCCGTAGCCACAGAAAAATTTTAATTTTTTCTTTCTAATATTTGTTATTTTATTTGTTTTCAACGAATGTTATTAATTAATGACATTTAAAATTAGTTTCCAATCACATATCACAATTTTTACAATTAAAATGCACACTAAGACTTAAATTACAATTGCAAATTATCAAGACATGGATGACAAACGGCTTGAAAATTAGTCGGACAATAATTTTCGCATTGCCCGTTGTTGAAAAAATATTCAATTTTTTACAGCTGAAATATTATTTCTGTCATTCGGCATTCGTCTGTGTTACCGCGCACGGTCAGCCCCATCCAGCCACAAAGAAATATTCTGCATTACATTTGCTTTATGTAATGAGATAGTCATTTCAGGATTGTTTTACACCCTCAGGCAAGTATCGTTCATTTTATACTAAATAGTTAGTTCTTTGTGGTTATTACAAAACTGCCCATGTGAATTTTACGTCTCGTGAAAATAAAAAACTTTATGGAAAATGTCATTCAAATATCAAATTTGTTTTGTTGTTTATTTTTCGGATAATTAATTAACTACTTGATTGTAACATTTAATTCACTACTCGGTAATTACGTCGTTTATTACGTTATATATTGGCTGTTACTGATCAACTTGTTACTGATTAACAAATGTCATTTAAAATGATCAGACACTTTCTAGTGAAGCAACTGCATCCGGATCACCTCTTCCTCATGTACTTCCTTCGCTGCCAATTAACCGTTTCTACGCTGCTAGCTGCTGTAGTTGGACCGAAAGTAAACTAATTTTTTGCTTTGACGTTTCTAATCATTCTTTAAACATTCTCATGTAATGATTATATCTTAATAATTATCATTCATTTTATAATTATTTAATAATAATTTACATTTTCAATTTTTGTTTAAAACGAGGCATTCACATACACCAAAAAATTATTATAATAAAAAATATTTTATCCACCGACGTAACATCTGGATATTTGTTTATCGACTGACGCTGACGTGTTTACTCGCATCAGCTCTGGTTTGCCCATCAGCCGCTTGATGACATGACACTGAGAAATCGAGCATATTCCTCTTCAGAACACGAGCATTCATCTCCAGAAGTCGTCAAGTTGAACATCAAGCCCAACGGTGATCTAGACAATGGAGAATTTCTTCTCACTGAATTCAATCCAGAAGACATAAGAGTAAGTTCTACTTGGCTGCCTCATAAGTTTTAGTCACGTTTTAATTTATTTTGCTATTTAAAATTAGTTTTCATGAAAAACCAATACAATTAATTTAATATTTATCTTATTTATAATACGCGAAACAAACATTTCAATCAACCAGTACGAACTGAAAAGACTCTACACCCAATTGCAAATTTACAAAACCAAAACGATGCGCCAGGACAATCCTCACATTCCAAAAAGGAGAGGTGGACGCAAGCAAACACATCGACGCTTCTCACTGCAAGCATTCCACAACAAACACAAACGTCCTCACAGTGACCACGGTAACGTCAGCAGCTCTGGTGGTGGCGGAGAAACAGAAGTTTCGAGAACTCCTGAAGAGTCGACAAACAGTGCGGAAGGTGTTTCAGTTTATATGGATGAATGTAGCGCTTTAGAATCTAATAACAATAATAATTTCAACAACAATGTAAATATTGCTACCAATAGTGCTAGTCGCATTTTCACTGGAATTGTTAAATCAAAACGTAAAAACTCTGAACTTAATAAATAGCACTATAGTTCATTTAATCAAGTGTCCGCTGGTGTTGTAAATTGCGGAATGTTGTAAAGTTTATTTTGTTACTTGTTCCATATTAAGCCTGCTAGAACAAATCTTGTACACAATGAATCTTTGTTTTTTTAACTAAAATGTAAGAAAACTGTTAAAACAGTTAAAAAAGCCCAAGAGCCCTTTAAAACCGAATATAATAAATTATGATACCCAAGCTAAAACAAGTTAATGAAACGATTTCAAAACCTAAACCTTAAAAATGCGGTAACTAGATTTTTGAGTAAACTAATAATCTATTAATATTAGTGTTAGACTATTAGTTTGAGTTATTTAAAATGGTGATTCTGTTTACAAACATAAATTATTCCTAGATATTTCTTTCAAATTGAGACACATGCCAGGCAGAAGTCTGAGGAATGAGGAGTTTTAAAGTATTTTTTTGTATTTGACACGTTTAATAAGTTACTTGCAAAGTTAGAAAAGTATTTAATTTAATTAAAGAAAAATTTCAGTTTTCAAAAGATAATGCGTGCTCGAACGGCAGCTACAGCTGCCCCAGTACAATCCAGAACATCCCCTAGATATTGAAACGATGTGACTTTCTTTACCTTAATGGCTTCAAAAACATTGCTATTTTGAATTTGTTGTTGTAGATTGATGCAAGCAGGACAAACAAAATTGGACACTTTAGATAAAGTACCAATTATTTTTGAACAACGTTTGTGACACCACTGGTTACACTGCTGACACTTGATTGAATTGCTACCTACAACAGCTTTACAAACTGAACAGGGCCATCGTCAAGTAGCTGTTGATTGGATGGGTTCACCAGTGTTCATTGCTTTGGCTTTGCTGATGTTGATTTTGAATCCATGATCGGCGAGTCTGGTGTTCCAATCTTCAAACATCTGTGCTGCATTCTGCTCAACGTGGCTGTTAAAACGATGTCATCAGCATATATAAGATTCTAAATGTCACCAGTGCGCATCGGCTTTGTGATTTCTTCCATCACAGTTATAAATAACAGTGGACTGAGAATCAAGCCTTAGTGAACTCAAACGCCGATGTCAAATGCATCTGTGTTTCCAACCGTTGTGCTGACGAGAGTCTTAGTATTTGTATACATTTCCATCACAAGTCGAACAAGATATTCTGGAATGAGTTGTCGACGTAGACTCCACCTGATTGCTTCACGGAGAACTCGATCAAACGCTTTTTCAAGGTCTACAAAAATGTGTGATAGTTGTTGAAGAATGTGAATTGCATCAATTGTTGATTTCCGCGCTAGGAAACCAAATTGATAATTTCCGATTTTGATGCACGACGTTAATCTTCTCTCAATGATTTTCTCGACAATTTTCATGGAGTGTTCTAACAGACGTATACCCCGATATGATGAACAATTCAATGAATCACCTTTGCCTTTGTATAGCGGGACTGTCATGCTATAGTTCCATACAGTCGGCATTGAGCAATTTCTCCACACTTCACGCCAAAGTTGTAGTAACGTATGGATACCTGCAGTAACAAGTTGATAATGTCATTTGTGAGTCCAGAGGGCCTTGCTGCCTTTCCACCCTTCATAGCTTTCAGAGCTTATGTAAGCTCCTCTACAGTGATGTCTGGAATCAGACCTTTGATGGGTGGAGCGTCAAAGTTGACATTGATGGGATTTGTTTCATTTAACAGACGGTTGAAGTATTCTTTCCACTGTAGCTTGATCTCATCTTGTTAAAGAACCATCTCATTTTTGTCGTTTTTGATACATGAAGCACCAACTATGTCTTGTTTCGTACGCTTTGCTTGTTTTGCTATACGATACAGAGATTTCATTTGTTCACCTTTGCTTTTAGTGAGCCACTCTCTGTACTGATCCGTCCGAGCCGGTGCGACTTGACGTCTAGCATAGTTGTTCTTCTCACGAAAAATTGTATGGTCATCAACAGACTTTGATTTTTGCCATTGCTTGTATGCAGCTTTCTTTTCAGCTTCTTTTTTGTTTTTTGTACACTGTCATTCCACCACCAAGTGTCCCGTTCGTGCTGGCCTTTTGTACCAGTTTTCCCACAAACTGTAGTTGCAGCGTTTATCAAAACGGTTTTGTATGTACTCCAATCTGTACTGGCTTGCGATTGGTGATCTAACTGTGTGGCGACAATCTGTTGAAAATTTTTTCGATGAATATTGTTTTTCAGTTTCCACGTTTTGATTCTCCGAGGCATTTGTTTAGACTTATGTTGTGACAGTTCGACAACAAGGTCTGCCACAAGGAGTCTATGTTGGGCGACAAATGATTCGCCAGGTATAACTTTGACATTTTGAATAGCCTTCGGTGTTGTTGCTTGACAGCGAAGAAATCAATTTGCGTGGCTGATGGTCCACTTTTGTATGTTATGAGATGTTTCAACCTCTTTCTAAAATATGTGTTCAGTAAAAAAAACCCGTGACTTTTAGCAAACTCAAGGATGCGGTTGCCATCTTCATTCCGTTCTCCATAGCCGAAACCGCCATGCACGTTGTCAAAACCATCTGTTTTCTCTCCAACGTCTGAGTTGATATGACAAACACCATTCGATTACCATCGGGTTTCCTGAAGGTAACAGATAACAATTCTTCTACGCTCGAGCATTTCTGCGATTTCCATGCTGCGGCCAGTCAGTGATCCAACATTGAGCGTTCCAAGTCTAAGTACCATAGAGGGGCCATTATGAATTTTTCTGCAACATCTCTTCGCTATTTCATACTTCATTTTTTACATACTTTGTATTGTGCAGACTCATCTCATATAGAAGTAGAAAAGTTGACAGCAAGTAATGGCAAGTTACTGTCAACAACTAATGCCAAGAAAACCTTTTTCAAAGGTAATGACACCTGATTTCTTCCGTCGAGTCTTGCTCAAACCTAGAATGCTGAGATTCATTCTTTTCATTTCTTGTTTTACGTTTTCAAATTTCTAACGTTCCATGTTGCCACAGTAAAGGGTGTATTCAACTTGTCACTATCATGTTTTTTTATTTGGTCTGTGTTTGTCGATGGTTTTTTGGCAAAAGTTGTGGACAGTATGTTGCCATCACTTGCTGTCAACGTTTCTACTTTTATATGAGATGAGTCATAACAAATAAAATTATATAAAATAAATTAATGAGTCAAACAAATAAATAAAATGAATAAATCAATATAAAGTATCTGAAGTTAATAGATTTTCCTTTCACTTTATCTCTCCATCACTTACGAAGTTTAGAGCGGATTATAACAAAAGACTCATCTGTTTGCAATGCAAAGTTCACTTTAAGCGCTGTTTAACATCGCAGAAACGGCGCTTTCAAACAAATTGATTGATCGATTGGTAATATAAACAATTTGTTAAAATTGTCTAAAATTCAGTCGAATTTGTTTAATTTGAAAGTCTGCACAAAGGATCATTTTCGATAGAATGGACTGAAAAACCAACTAATGAAGTAGCGAATTCATAACTACCAGACCCAGCCTTAACTTTTTTGCTTTATTTTATTAGGCTAAGTATGGAGAATAATTCAACAAATATATACTTTTTGTTTGACACTACTTTGGTTGAACAATGGTGTTATATATGATATTGCCCTTAGTATTCCCACCGTAAACTTTATTGGAAGCGAGAACAGCATAGACGAAATTCATCCATCACATTAGGAGAGTCCCCAAATTATATTCACCACAGCAGCTAAATTATAATATGATTCAGAGCCCAGACGCTTCTGGGTCTGACAGTATTTTTACAGCATAGAAAATAACACGTTCATTTAATGTATTATAGTTCAATTCCTACTTGAAATCATATTCGATACGTTGAAACGTTCAGAAAAAGGTTTTCTAACATCATAGAGGAACACTAAATTAAATTTATTTATATTTTAAACGTTAATGTGCATTTAATGACATCCCACTTCTAAATTATATCATTAGGAAATGTTACGTATTAAGCTTATTACAGTTAATTAACATATGATTAAAATAAAAGCAAAATGATATAAGAAAAAAGTACCATTTATTTTCAATTAGGTCGAATCAATTAACACATATGAGTTTATATCATGTTTAATCTTCATTGTCGTCGAAGGCCTGTGAAAATTAATTGAAATATCATGTAAGAAATGTAATTAAAATGCAAGTAAATGTTTGAAACATTAGTCAGATCGTAGTAAAATTAATCACGACGAAAAATTAGCGTTATTTTGTGTTGTGCAAGATTATTTACATCCAAAAAACTAAAATGTGGAAATTAGACGGACCTGAAAAAATATTGAACTAGATGAATGACATTTTAGAAAAACCAGGAAGCAATAGAGAAAGTGGTGATTTGAAAAAAAAATTAAAAAAAAAGACGAAAGCATTTGTTAGTGCTGACTGGTAAAAAAAATTAAAAAGAAGACGAGATATTAGTTGTGACGGAATAGCTGCATATCGAATAAAAATTGAAATGAAAAATTACAAATTCAATCGATTGGGAGGCACCAAAATTTTTAAATTTCATGCAGATTTTGAATGATGACAAAACCTAATCATGCTTTAAAAACTTTATACAGCATTGCGAATGTAATGTTTTGAATAAAGTTGAAACGCTGGAAAATAATTACAATTAATAACGAACAATATTATATGAAAAAACTTACATGGAGAAGTTCTTGAGGTTCGCAATATTTTGGAATGGCAATGACTTTGATTTTTCGTCCAACAGAAATTTCAAGCCTAAGAACAGATAAAAGAATGACATTGTAAACAACAGAAGACAGTCAGTTAACAATAACATCGCTAAAATTAAAGTTGCCTCAATATGAATATTTAAAAGTATGACAAGTTTAATTTTAATTCAATCTCGAACAAATGAATTTTCCAAATTATGATAAGAAAAACAATAAAATAAAATAGAACTTGTTTTTTGGGGTAGGTGAACCAGAACTAAAAGACACATTCCACCGAAAAGCTGATTTGTTCAGACTGACTGGAGTGCCATTCGAGTGCTTTCTGAAATACATAAGCATAATATAATATATTATAACATAATTCTAAATCTTTGGTCCAGTGATAATGGGTAATGATGGGAAATCGAATGTAATGCACTCAAATATGGATCGAATTCGTAATAAAATAGATGAAATTAGAAGTCTGTTTGATATTCCTGAAATTAGTTATCACATTTTGATTCTTGTAGAAACAAATCCAAAACATGTCAACGCCGATAATCAACTTAGTGGATATAATATCAAAAGATATAAAATGTATACCATAAACTTTATGACGGTAAGCCCTAGTGGAATATTCAGTTATGTCAAAGAAGGGTTATGTCAAATCAAATTGAAACATGCTTCTGGAGTGAATGAGCATATAAAAAAATTGGATGATGCTTTAATGAATGTGGATTTTTAATTTGATTGGAAAGCTGGTTAATGAATGAGAATATTTTTTATGTAGATAATTAACTTTTGTTTGTTTTTCTATTTCTTTTTTGGATTAATGTGAAAAAGACAATTAATTTATGTAATTTCTATCGATGTGGGCTTACGAACATTAACGTTTGGCCCATTTTTTCTCTTGATAATAATAATATAACAGATGAAAGAAAGTGTTCGTATTAGTGTATGCCTTTCTTGGCCGTAAATCGTTTTATGAGATATGGATGTTTGAAGTTCATTTTTAACTTCTCAAGCGTCAATGCGCCCAATTTTAAGGTTAACCAAAATCTCTTCTGGTTGTCTTTATATTTCTTTTTTAAGTTATGTAAATCACGGTTGAAATTACTTATACGAGGTGTAAATTAATTTTTGCAGTTGACTACAATATTATAAAAATATAAATGAAGAACTTAAATTTCAACAAAAATTTTCGTGTGTATTACTTTTAAAACACGTTCTGTCGAATGTAATTAAATCAATTAATTTAGCAAAACTCAAAATTGTAAAAAAACAACAATAAATAACGTAAGTAATGAAAAATGACAATAACAAAAAAGTAAAAAAGTAACAGAAAAAACATTCTGACCCTGACGACTTCTTCTCATTTACCACTTCATCATCGTCAGATGAAAACAAATCTAGAGGAGTGGCTAAGGGAATGGCTGATTCCTCTGTTAAAACTACTTCGTCATCTGATCAAAGAATCAATTGTTGAATTGGTCAGTGAATCAGTCAGTCAGTCAACTGTTTAGTCAATCGGTTGGTCGATTGGTCAGCCAGTCAGTCGGCCAGTTACTTAGACAGTCGGTCAGTTCAATCAATCAATCATTCCTTTCTGAGCATAAAAATGTCATAACATAGCGTTTATTTATTGCCTATTAAATTAACAAATAATAATAAATACAACCTTTTCTGATTAAAAAATAAATAAATTTACTTGAACTTTAATCTTTCTCTCCAAAATTTTTCCCAATGTTCTATAAAAGCACCTTAATCTAATGGATCTTCTTTACCTTTTTAGACAGAAAGTTATCAAACTTTTCTCCAAGTCTTCCAGAATATATTTCTCTTTTTCACCTTAATCTAATGGATCTTCTTTACCTTTTTAGACAGAAAGTTATCAAACTTTTCTCCAAGTCTTCCAGAATATATTTCTCTTTTTTGCTGAGGCCACTTCCATCTTTAAATATTTGAAAAGTTATGCAATCTTCTTCAGTTTTTAATTTCATTCATTTTGTATAACTTTTCTTTCTATCCTGTACTGCTTACTTCACCGTTTTCTCCACCATAAAGTTTCTCATCTGACATAATGACAGATGTACATTATATTAATCTAAATTTTCTTCACACATGTCATTTTTAAGCACACTCCACATGTGAATTTTTCTTAAAATGCTCCGATGTCTCATCATATTAGGCTTTATTAATTTCCAAAATTTAATCCAAGACTCGGCACACACAGTCTTTTCTTTTATCTTTCGCATCACACACCAGTAACTTACGTCGTCTCGTGCATCTTTCATTGCTGTAAAATCTAATATTTTTGATAAACTTGTAGCGTCCTTTTTGCACCAAAGTATTATTATTAACTCTGCTCTTTACCTGTTCTGATTCGTAAATTATCAAGTAGATTACTTTTTTCTAAAATCAGGTTTTACATATCCCTTTGTTCCAAACAGTTCCAAAATCGAGAATTGTTCCTCTTTCATAGACTTCCTCGTTTTTCTCCATGCACTTGCTCACACTTATCCCCTTCTTTTTCGACACCTCCATTTAGACCCCTTCTTACAACCACCATTTCGATTTCGGAATCTTGATCATTTATTTAATGCCAGATACCATTCTTTTCCTCTTCACTCTGTTCACTTTGTGAAGCACATCCCGATTTCACATTTAATAATCCCTCACAGGTAGGCATTCTTACCGTCTCACATTACTGCTCACTACATCTGCTACCTTATCTATCCAAGATTCACATCTCAGCAGAATGGATTACCACGGATGAGAACAAACGAACGCATTGCTTCATCTCCTCAGTCGGTCACAAACAATGTTGACCTCATGTGTTCCATCTGAGATTCGCTTTATAATGACCTGGGCTCCATGAAAGTCATTCCAATTTTCGGGGAGTGGGGAAATTCATTTTTGATACTTTCTTTATTTTTAGAAGCAAGACTTAGAGCGTGTTGTCAGAGATAGGAGTGGTTAACCTTCATCCGTTATCCATGCTTGGCACTGACATGAGTGGAGATCTCATTTAAACAATAACCCACTCGTAGGCCATAGAATAAATTAATCAGATATAATAAATACATCACGGATCTTATGTATATATATAACACCATGCACACAACGTGTAAGAAAACCGAACCAGTATCAGAAATATGTTCACTCCAACTGATGCATCGCTTGATATCCTGTTTTGGAGGTGTCATAAGCTGGAAAGATTTAAACACAAATCATACACAATATGCTTCATGTCTATCACAAATTATTCAATATAAAACTCTATTTAACATCAACATAATTTTATGAATTTGGATACAATTTCTACAAACTTTGTAATCTTTGGAAACTGTTTGTTCATGTAACCTTTTTTTCCATTTCTTTAACAAATTTAAATAATATTAATATAGAATCGATACAATATAAAAAATGCAAAAATATTAGGATTAACAAAATCAACAAGTCAGCAACAAATTTAATTATCTGTGTTTCTATGTTTGCAGCAGCATTTGAAAGAGAGAGGGGGGGGGGGGGGAAGGAGAGAAAAAGAAAGAGAAATAAAAGATTAAATGAGATAACCAATCCTCTTAAAGGCTAAGAAACGACACTGCTTAAAACCCAGTTTTAAAATAATTAAAAAGGACTTCAACCAAGTTTGGAATAAAATTAAACAGTTGATGATGGCATTTGATAATTGAGCTAATGAGAACTGTTTAGAATCTATGTTCTTTTCAGCATATTGATACAAAACCATAAATTAAGCAAATTTTTCAAAATAAAAAAGAAACGTTAAAATGACATTAAGATAGCAAACTTCGCAAAGGTACCGATGCCCAAGTACTTCATCAACGGTCGGTCTCAAATTGAGGTCAGGTTGCATCATCCATTCTATTAGATGCTTCAACTCAAGTGAAATGCCTGTTTCATAGATGTTAAAATTGCATAATTTGTTAAAATCTATCATGTTTTTATATTTGAAAAAAAATTTGCCAACGAGAATGTAGAACTAAAACCCGGTCTTACCATTAATGTAAATAACACTTGAATTTATAGAGTAATATATTAAGTAACTCACTCAAAGGTCTGCTGGATCAAAAACTTGCAATCATTAGTTTTAATTAAACCTATTAGCGCCAGTCAAAATATAATCAACAAATCAATCATAAAGCTTACTGATAACAAAATAATTTCATGAAAAAAAAAAGTAATGCAATAGAAGAGGAACAAAACGAACCTTTTAAAAGTTCATCTGGCAGTTGGCCACTTCTCAGTTGATGCCACAGTTTATCACCTCGTGGCAGGTCCAGGTCAGTAGCAAGCTCCAGAATGGTAATTCCCAAACTAAATGGTGTGTTTAGCATCATCACTTATTAATCATCCGGAATTATTACTTATTTATACATACAACTATATTTCAGATCATTATACCACACTCAAATTTCTTATATTCCTGTTCTTTAATTTTGCAAAACGACATGCAAGTTGCATTATATATTGAAACACTCATTTATTAAAGTATCACACACTTCACTATCACTTTGATCAACAATAATTATTTACGTAGTTCAAAATCGACTGCCCATTTTAAGACTGCACTTTTAAATCAGCAGCAGAGATGGCAACAACTGGGCACTCCATGAAAAATGAACTTCACTGGTTATCGGTGGAGTGCCGAATTAAATCTAAAAAATAGCGCCCATGGACAGAAATAGTTTGAGAATTGAGATGGGCCAGATTATTTGAAGGAAATGATAAATAAAATCAGTTGCTGCTGACCCCGATCGAAGTTGATTGGGATCAGCAATGTGTGGTCATCTAGTTTGTCTTCGTTCCGAAGTTTTCAAAGGTTGATTAAAACATCATTTCTTTGACAAAATGTACCCCTGATAGAGCTTCTTAAGATTACTCAATTAAGACGCTTTACAAATCCTCATTACGATGCCATCAGTAAAATATATGTATTCATATATAACTGCTTTAAATTTAATTATTTTTTGAAAATCCTTTTAAAATAGGCAAAATAGCTCTTTCAATGAAACCTCATGTCATTTCCTTAATTATCAACATAAAGAGAAAGAACATTAAAACAGGTGAAATTAAACATGAAAGGTGAAATGAAACCTGAAGATGTCAGCAGGTTTTCCAAAATTTCCCCTCATTAATTCTGGAGCAAGATACTTTGGGTCACCTTCCAGAGCATCCACCCATTCTTCTCTCTAAAATAAAAAAACAACAGTAATTAGTTATAAATCTGTTATCATCTTCGCATCTAAAATAGCCCTTACGATAGAATAGAATTTATTTGGGTGTCTTTTATATGTGGCTTCACTTTACATAATTCAAAGACGGAATTATTGACAACTATTTCTGATTTAATAAAGATAAAGGTATGGTGGTGATCACAGATTGAAATGTTTGAATGAGTCAAAGAACCCAGTTATTGACCATGGCGTTGTTCTTGACCTACATCTATCTATGGAGGAATTACATAAAACGCTTGTCAATTATCTCTTCAACTATATGGGATTAGACAATATTTTAAAAAAGAGTTGAAAAGAATTCTGGTGAAAAACTTTGTTTGTACAAAAATTATTTGTACAACTCTGTTCTGTACGGTATTGACAAGTATCACCTGACATTCATTTAATCTGCTCTAAACCCCACAGCAGCCACAGCTAAGTTAATTGCTCAGCATTCACACAGCATGAAAAATAAACTTCATTGCATATTGATGGAGGACATAATTAAACTTAAAGTATCACTGATGCTGAGAAATTATTTACTAAAAATGTATCAGTTTACTTCAGAGTTGTTAAATTTTGTTTCAGAAGTCTCTAAGGTGATTGTTGAAGATGAGCAAGGCATGGAAACCCTGCATGTGCTTTGTTCAAAACATCTTATTTTCGGTTAACATTTTTTTCATCACTTTTCAACAGACTTTCCTTTGAATATAACTCAATATAAGTGCCTCACAAATCTATAATACGATACAACACAATGCAATGAATATAGATATGTTTACAAAAACCTTATTGAGATCGAGAACCAGACCGAAGTCACCCAACTTGCAGACATCAGTATCAGAAATGAAAACATTTTCTGGCTTGATGTCCATGTGAATCAAATCATGATCGTGCAAATGTTTCACTGCCTTCAAAAGCAAAGTTAATTTGAAAATAGTAGGATAATTATTGCAGTGATGTAAATGTGCGGCCTCACTATTGCAAACAAAATAATATAATAACATTAAGCCAACTGAGCACGGATTTAATAAACTGTATTAATGATTGAGAATGTTGGTTAAAAAAGTTTCAAACAAAACCCAATGATAAAAAACAAACTGACTAACCATAAGCAGATCAATGAGATAGTTCATTATGAGCTGTTCAGCAATGTTGTGATGCTCATCTGCATAGGCACTCAAACTAAAATTTAAAAGTTAAAGTTGAATGAATTCGTAAATAAATATTATACAATAACCTGCAAATAAAAAAGAAACAAAGCAATTGCAAGAATGCAAGAAAATGTGGCTGCCAGCAAAAATGAGAGTTAAGAAATTTAGAAATGATGAATCCATATAAAATGATTTAATTTATTTGATTTGAAGATTACAATGAAAGAAACGTACCTCATCTTACAAAGTTCAGTCTGAATGTACAAATGATCTTTCTCCTCCCATGCTTTGATAAATTTCACACAATTTCTGTGCACTGGTAACTTTTCATGCTTGTTCACCTCTTCAAGTTTTACTTTTCTTAATATGAAATAAAATAATGTGCTATGTGCTATTATATGTATATATATATATAATTATATATATATATATAATTATATATATATATATATATATAATATATTGTATTGCAAACTATATGGGATGGAATCATGTAGTTTGATAAAAACATCAAATGAAATGTCATAAACTAAAAGATGCCTCTTGAGGTATCTTTTAGTTGTTGATGAATCTAGCTTGATGAATCTAGCTTGATGAACTAAACAATGAACATTAAGGTTCCCTTTAACAATATACCACAAGAGGTGCACAAATTTTTTTGAATCTATAAAAAAAATTTCAATCTCAAAATTGACCATGAAAGTCAAAATGACTGAGGTGGGACAACTCAAATTGACATCGTCAGTAACTTTTGAAACGGATTGACTCAACATCTTTAAAAATTTGTGGTTTTGAAGAACATTAAACTAAAAGAAGAAACTTATCAATGCATGTTACCATGATGTCTCACAGTGCACATCATCCTTAACATAAAAATTGCAAAATGTTTGTAACTACTAAAAATGAAAAATGATAAGGATAATAATGACATTTAAAAAACATTTTCATATAAAGGAATCTTAAAAGACTCATCCACACAGAAATACCTGTCTACGGAGCCTTTGAATCTTTCCTTCGATTTTTTAATCGCATAATACATGCCATCCTCTTTACTTTTCACCTTGTAAACCTATGGTAGAAATGAAATAATAAATATTTCCATATTTACAAAATAAAAATTTTTAGGCAATATTTATTTTTTAAACTTGAATGAATGGATTAGTGAAAAACACTTCAGAAAAAATTAAATCAAATTCAAAGAGAAGCTTATTGGTAATGACAAAACATCCACTGAAAAAACTAACATCCCCAAATGATCCAGAGCCTAACTTGCAAATTATTTCAAAACACTGTTCAAAGTAAGATTCCCTCTTGTTTTCATTATAAAGTGGAGTTGAAATGGCTGGAGAAAGCAAAAGTTTTAAAAATTTGTTATAAGTTATAAAAAAATTTAATATATGAAATATTTTAAACGTATATGATGTTAGCCATTAATAAATAATAATAATAATAATAATAATATTATAATTATTATGAAAAAAACATGGGCGAAGACAAAATGTCCCTATGCCCGCAACACAAAATTAACTATAAAATTTTAACACATAAACAATGTACATGAATATATGTTAATATGTTCTGTTCAAACATAAAGACCAAACAAAAATAAAAACATAAACCAAAATATAAGAGAAAAATTTCTATTATTAATTCAGCTACCTATATTTTATATATATGTATGCAAACATTTCTTCATAAAAATTCCAATTTAAACCAATCATATATATTGTCCTCTCTTAAAGACAATTATGTCAAAACAAACATTTATACAGATATTTATATAATATTGAACTTATTATGCCCAGTTAGAGCTAGAAAATGAGACAACTTTGGGACCATTCGGAGAATTGGCTCCCATTTTTATTGCAGATGGCCAACAAAAGCGTCACTTCACCAAAGTTTTTCAAAAAAGAGAAATCATTACTTTGTCATTTATAAAGCAGATTTGCTCCAAGATTTGGTCAGCAGCTATACACCAGTACCAAATCTGAGTTCCATCTCCAAAGTAATATAAAAAAATAATTGCAAAGCAGCTGTTGAATTTTTCTAACAACAATGCTTTATTACTATAAATTATAATCGAGATTTCAGAAGCACAGCAGACAATTCATTCATTTCTATCCAACAATTCTTTTATCAAGATATTAATATTATATTTTTGGTAAATTTAAAATGGTTTAACTTTAACAGCTATGATGGCAAAAATAAATTTCCCACTAATAATAATCAACAATAATTGTTCTAGAAATAATAAAAAAACGACAATTGCAATATTTGGTATTCTATTCAGACTTCTGAAATGGCTAAAGCCTAATCCTATTTAGTGTTTCTCTAACAAATGAACATATGCAGCGAACCTCAAAATACAAAAGCTGTGACCTAGCATTTAACATTTAAGGACTGACAATTTTTTTACTATGAATGCAAATAGCTAAAACTAAAATTTCCACGATATATAAAAGATAAATATATTATGCAAAATAATGAGGTTATATTAGAAATGTTCTGTAATAATTTTTTTAAATTCTACAGATTGTTCTTTAATGAGGAAATAAAATTGCAATACTTTTATCAGGTGATTTGAAAGAAACAGGCATAGCTTTGGAGATATTTCGTTTAGCAAATTGGAGTCTGGTCGCTGATTTTTTGGCTGAGGGTCGAGGAGGTGGTGGAATTCTAACTCTTGGCGTTTGACCTTTCTCCTGCAAAGGTTTTACTTTTATTTTATAATAATTTACTAAAATAAAATTTAATGATAATTTTTAATTAATTTAATTAAATTTAATGTTAAACATTCAATCTAAATTTTTTATTTAAAATGCAGTGTAAATTATTTTTTTCATTATCCAAATAATAAATGCTTTAAGTTTTAAAATGTAATTAAAAACCAATCTTATTTTAAAATTTTTATACTATGATTTCTTGGTAAACTAATTAAATTGATATTAATAACCTTTTTTGTAGAGAAAGACTGGGGTTCTTGAAAAAATTTTGGAGTTGGTCGTGGTGTGTTGTACGTGGGACTATCCATATTATATTTTAATATCTGATTGTAAAAAAAAAATTCTTACTAAAAATTAAAAACTGGCGAACATATACTAGCGGTACAAATATTTCTAAATTACTAATGCTAAGTTTCAAAAATACGCCACACTAAAGTTTGTAAACATCCGTCAGCCATTTAAAGTAGTGTTGAATAAAGTTAAAGCTATAAAAACTAATGCGCAGTACAATGAGCCTTCACAGTAGGAATTAAACTTTAACTCTATTTTTTGCTTAGAATCATTTGCGTTATTATATAATATTATATAATCATTAATCACAGAATGGTTTGCTTTGCAAAATACAGTTTATGAGTGACGTTTATTCATTTTCAACCATCGAAATGATCATCGTTGTAAGCAGTAATTCATAATAAATTATTCACATGGATATATATAATTATTTATTTAAATCATCAGTCTTTTAAAAAAAAAATTATAAAATTTGTCAATCGATTTTGTATCCACAGTGTTGAAAATTGGCTTTCACTGACGAAGTAATTTCTATATAAAAAGTTTAACAATGTAAGTAAACAAATTTTTAAAATTTTGGAAAATAAAAAAAATTGGCTTATTCTGACAACAATGACTTAAGACATGAACTTGATATATATATATTAAACTCAAGAGATTGCAATAGGTGTCATTCAAAAATTACGTAACGCTGGGGGGAGGGAGGAAGGGGTTTATCCAGTGTGACAGTGTGATTGTGTGACAGGGGGGAGGGGTTAACTTGATGTGTACGTAAGCATACTGTCTTTAGGCTGCTGCCGAAATGCCGATTAGAGTTGAGCTTGGGAATGGGAATTTTAGTGAATAGGGATAATCACTGTTCTGGTATCGGGAATGATGGGCGGGAATGGGAAAAACAACCTACATGCCCAAATTTGAAAAATTAATTTTGATCAAAATTTCAGTTATCTAATCTACGCAATTCAACACGTGTGCGTGTGTGTTAACAAAAAAGACGTAAGTTGTCGCATGTTGGCCGGCGAGATGGCTCAATGGTTCGAATACTCGCTGAGTCAAATCTCTCAATGGCTATCATATACTCAGCGTATATGATGCGGTGCTTGCGCGTGCACATAAAATACATGTGTACGTCGTGTGAAAAGGATAAACAGCCTTTGTGGCAAAGATGGATGCTTCAAATCATCGTATGAAGATATGAAGAACATAATAAAAGATATCCCTAGATAATATATCTTTAACATTGTAAGTGGTTTTGGGTATATCAGAGCTGCAATAATAAAGGCTAAAAAATGATAAATACGTGCAAACAGTGAAGCCATAAAGAAATTGTATGTTGTATTTTACAGGGCTTCGAACCGTAATTTTTTTCGTTCCGGTTTTCGGTTTCGGTTCGACTAACAAAATATATTTCGGTTCAGTTCCGGTTTTCGTTCCAGATAAAATTTCGGTTCGGTTCGGTTCCGGTTATCGGTTCAGTTCCGGGAAACGTTTTTGCCCATCAAAGTTATTAAATTTTGCAAATGGTCATCACAATCCTACTGGCGCAAATTTGTAAAGCAAAGTAAAGAACACTTATAAAATGATGTAAAATTATTGATAGAAGCCAAATTAATTTTCAATTTTAATAAAAAATTTTAAATTAAAAATTCCGTAACAAATAATTCTGAATGCAATAATCACGAAACTTAGCCAAAAAAAAATTAATTATCTTCCAGACAAGAAATGAAAATTGAATTTCTTTGACATTACGTGGTGGAGCGCTCTAATTAATTTGCGGGCAAATATATTTAATTAATTATATTTAATTGCGTTTTTGTAAATGTTGCCGGTATCGCGTGTATCGGATATTCTAGTTATTGACATATCATTGTTAATTAAATTTCAACTCATTAAGAAACTATTAGTCATGGATTTTTTAAGTTTCTAAATATACAAAAAAATGTGTTCAAATATTTTTTTAGCCAGCAAATGGAAACAAAGTATAAAAATGCATGACATTTCCCAGAAAACAAAAGTATGACGGCTTCGAACCGGAACGTTACTTTTTTCGTTCCGGTTTTCGATTTCGGTTCGGCAAGCAAAAAATATTTCGGTTCAGTTCCGAGTTTCGTTCCGGCTAAAATATCGGTTTTTTCCGGTTTTCGGTTCTGTTCCGGTTCGAAGCCCTGGTATATTATATATGTGTGTATAAGCGATTTGAAATGGAATGAACCAAGGTGAGGCCTATTTACCAAAATATAACACTTTCTTATGGGTTGAAGCAGGGATATGCAAAAAACCTCAATTTTTTAAACTTTATTATTTTCTGTAATGTCGATTTAATTTTTAAATTTATACTAAATGAAAGTAATTAATTACCACATTGATAAATAATTTAAAAAAAATTTAATTTAAAACGTTTTAAAACATTTTAGATAAAACAATATTTCGAAATTAGTAAATATACGATTGTTAATTTTGACTCGAACAATTAAAAATCACCCTCCAACTGCCCTACGAAAGTCAGCTCCTTGTTAGACCGTTAAGAGTGAGCGAAGGCCGTTATATTTATTCTAGTTATATGTATCAAACAGTATCTTATTGAACAAAATAGTATCATAAAATGAATAAAGATACTTTTTTTTTTAAATTTAAAAAATTCTCAATTAGATTTCATTGCGATATCGATGATGATGATCATTGTGACCTGACTAATTAAAAAACATCATATAAAATTTATAAAATAGGATGGGTATATCGTTGAGAAATCGTTGGGGGAAATGACGTCATGTTAACAGTAGTTATTTCCCTAGATGGTAGTTAATCAGCCTGTATAAAGGTTAATTCCTATCAAAACTAAATAATTAAATATATATATATATATATATATATATATATATACGTATATACGTAGTCATAATACTGTTATAACCGTGCTACCGAACGCACTAGATTCTAGCGTATTCTAGAATGTTCTAGTGACTGGAGCATTTTAGAGTATGCCAGAATCGGACCATCTAGAAGAATCTAGAAACGACGCTTGCGAAGAGTATATAAGCGGGTAATCTCGGAGACGGCAAAGTGGTTTTTCCAGCAATATTTATTTATAGTCAACAGTTTGAAGAGACTCATAAGTTCCTCCCACGGTACAACTAAAAGTTAAACTAAATAATAAAAGCTTATAATAAAAGTTTAAAATAAAAATTTTAAACCTATTTTTACTCATTGAATTATATATAAGAATGGCTTTATAGTGTTGACCTTCATCTCAAGGTCAGGAAACTTGGAAGCAAACTTTTTTAGCACCAAATTGTCAATGGGTTTTTCCGTTTTCCAATCTATATTTAGCTTCTTCCCTGTTAATGTGCCACCGGCGGCATTCTTGTAAACGTTTTTTGCTGCTAAAATCATTCTACGGCAGTTTTAATCGATTTTTAACTTAATAATTTAACTGAATTATGTAAAATTTTTGGAATCATTTATTATTTGATCCATTTTGATTTTATAAAGTTTATTTGTTTAGAAGTTTTAAAAATGTTACATTGTGCCAGGAGACACTAGGCCCAGACTAGTAGAAGAAAAGAGGCTTTGCTTTTTTGTATTTTTATTTAAAATTTGACTTTTTATTTTTTTAACTATCGTTAATTAATGTTCAAATATTTTTTATATTGTTTTTATATTATGGGTTTATTATTATTATTAGGATGCCCTTGTAAAATGGCTTTTTGTCATAAGAAATACAAAATACAAAGAGTTTCTTTATTTTAATTTATTGGGTATATATATTTATATATATTATATATATATATTATATATATATATATGATGAAAAATTTTAAATGCAGCTATTTACTTTCAAACTTAAATCATATTTAGACGTTTTGCTTAATGGATGCACATCTCATCAAGCAACAGCAAAGGCAATCAAAGTATTACAAGTCCAGAATCACAATGCTGCAGGCAACAATAAGAAAACTTATGAATGAATGTAATAAATTAAAAAATGAATTAGCTACATACAAAGGTTTTACTTTTATGTTATGTAACCATAGCAAAATGAATTGAAATTTTGATTAATTTTTTGTTTTTTTTTGCTTCTTTGAGTCGGAGTGCCTGATCTCATTTTTTTATATTTATATTTTTTTAATTAATTTATTTTTATTTAATTTTATTTTATATAGAGTTATATAGAGTTATATAGAGTTATATAGAGTTATATAGAGCATAAATCCTATATAGATACTTTTCTTTGAGGTTCTTTTCTTTGCCGACCGGTCGGCTTCTTTGCGTTTCTCTATTTTCATTTAAATTAATTAAATAAATAAGATTTGTCCATTCATTTAGGTTCTTTCAGGTTCATTCATTCACGTTGAAGCTTCCGGATGAGTTCATCGTGGAAGATCAGAATGGTTGCGATGTCACGCTACGTTCGTTCATTCAGTGTCAAAGAATGCACGCCTGGCTGGGGTACGTTTCACGGTTTCTTTGCGGTTTCTCTTTTTGCCAATTGGCTGGCTTTTCCGGCTGGCGGGTTTCACCGCGGCTCGTTTCTCTATTTTCATTTAAATTAATTAAATAAATAAGATTTTTTCATTTCGTTCATTTTATTTAGGCTGAAGCTTCCAGAGGAGTTCATCATGGAAGATATCAGGCCACGTTCGTTCATTCAGTGGCAAAGAACACACGCCTGGCTGGGATACGTTTTATTCTTTTTTCTCTGTATTTTAACATTAAGTAAGAATGCATACAAGCACACATATACACACACAATTACATTAAGTAGCTATATAGGTAGGTTAGATAGGCATAATTTTAATTGTAGGTAGGATATATAGGAAGCATCTAACACTAATGTAGTTGAATAGGTAGGCGTGTAAGTTTATCGCTTCTATTTTTTCTTGCACCCACATTACATGCATCAGCGTATTACACACACACACAAATACATACATAAACACATATGTTAGTATTTGAGCGTAATTTTATCTTCATTACACATTCTAATTTATTATTACTAAGGTTGAGAATAATTTAATTT